ATGTCGAATCTTAGTCGTTTGTTATCGAGAACCAAGTCAGTTGATGAAAGAATGTTCTTGAAAATAGATATGTTGGCGATTTTGTTTTTTTGTTTTGTTTCGATATATATATATATATATTTGCATTGATTGATACTGTTTCTTTTAAGATTAAAATATGCACAGGTACCACATCGTTGAAATGGGAAAACAAGATAAAACAGCTTGGAGCGTAAGTGCGATTTATGAACATATCCAACCATTATTAATCAAAGACTAATTGCACATGTTTAACCATTCATAATTAATGGAAAGTGGAATTATCAAACAATTGTCAATTAAGTGTTAGTGAACCTATCCAATCCATATCAACTAAGGGGTAGTGCACAAATACAATCACTATTAGTAAGGGCTAATACATCTTTCCATCAATACATTTTTCATCTACATCGATATGTTTTAGTTACCCTCAGTTGCCTTCTAGGTTTTAAAGTTTTAAGGTTTTATCATACTGACGAATCGTAAAGGGGCAAAACAACAGTTTAATGCAGTTTAATTAATAACTCTACCACAATGTATCTAATTCTAGCTTTGACCAAGATTTACATAACGAGTGTCGTCGATGAAGCAGAAGACGCTTGCTCTTCCGGAACGCCTGGTCTTATTCTCCTTGTACCTTTTTAGGAGTTTCCGTGTAATTTGTTTTGTTCATGTTTTGCCCTAGTGCTGTGGCATTTGAGTTTGAATTATGATTATGTAGCCATGTTGATATTTTCTTGATTGTTTTGTATTGAGAAGTATTATTTACTAATAATTTATCATGTACTTTTTCCACATTGCTTTAAGATTGCAGGTGGTGGACAACTTGTTAATTTTAATATAAGAAGCTTTGAAGTAAATAGCAAGCTACATTTAGGTTTATTTAGATCGTAGTACAGCTCAAAATATAATATATATATATATATATATCTTTTCCGGTGAATTTTGATTTCCATTCGTCATCTCTTGGGTTTCAAAAAACTAGGCCTGAAATTGTTTAATTTATTATTTAACTAAAATGTACATAATGGTAAATTTGCATTGAGAGGTGTTAATCACTGTTGTGTCTTTCATACAATCTTTCTTATTTTATGAACAGGTCTTTAGAAGCTGGCTTTTATTGTATTAGAAGAACGATCCCAAAGCCATATTTTGCTATTTGTATTTATTCTTTTTCAGCAATATTAATTTTAGATGTATAGCATCATACGATGAAACACTGAGAAATAGATACATTACCTTCAGTTTTTAGATAGAGATACTCGTATATTCGTAGCAGCTCAGGATAACAAGTCTTCCGTATTTTGACGGAGAGGGATGCCACAAAGCAAAGTGTATATCTCTTTCAAGGAAATTTTAATCAAAATGATTTTAAGATTGTAGAAAAGACACCAAAAAAGCACTTTTTATTACAATATCGAAATAATATAAATAAAGTAAGCAAAATGATTCATTAAACTGCATCATATAGCTGTTTGTCCTTCAGCGAGTCGCCATTGATGATATGCAAGGACTTAAATTGTGGAAACCTAAGAGGCGAGAGGGAAAATCAGGCTTTGTCGAAATAATAGTCAAGAACAAGGTGAGGAGGTGTAATAACCCTAAAATTCAATACTTTTCGTAACTTTGGACATTGCATAACTTCAAAAGAATATAAAAAACATTTATTTTCTGTTTAATATTGTCCCTATTCAAATGAATTAAAACATGGTATGTAGGTTACGGCAAACCGCGGTAACTAACTCTCACCTTCAGTGTCTACCAATGAAAAGGCTTGTACAAAAGTCCCGCAAGAGAATAGCATATTTCAATACAAGATTAGAATTACAGTGTAGCCAAATAATCAACTTCACTTATCTTGCAGCTGTTCCGTCCTTCTAGGACTGTGTCAGAGATATTAGGGGCCTCAAAGTAAGTATTAAACCTTGTTTGCCATACATTGATACCTTTGATAAAGGCGCCGTATGTCCAGTTCATATATGTACATATGTATTGCAAGGTCTTCTGGCAATCTACTGCTGTCAGTGAGTGTTAAACTAATCGACCAAAAACCAAAACATAGCTACTGAATGTTGTTTCATATGTATACGTGTATAAGATTATTCCGTGTAACGTTTTGAATATTCACTTAAAAAGGTTTTTGTTAAAATGAAACAAAATTATTGTTTATGCTTTGAATGTGAATGTTGTGGTTTTCCACTAGAGACAGTTTGGTGAACGAAAGACTATTACATACACAGCATATACAGTATGACTTTGATCCAGATTAAAGCTTGCAAAATGAAAGTTCTAATGATTTTCTGTTTACTAACGTGTACAGAAAAATGTTCCTCTTTTGTATACCATTGTCGAAACCCAAATAATTATACCGTCCCATTTTCTCTTTCCTAATTTTACTTAACTACACTTCTTTCTCGACAATGTCTACCTATACAAGTCTATTTACTTCATGCAATATTATTATAGACACTTAATGTTTGTTTTCGAAAGGTATGTTTTCATCTTGAAAACGACAAAGCAAAAAGCCAACAAGAAAATATCAACGTTTCAACAAAGTCAATAAAACAAGTGCAAAATATGACCAAAGTAAAGATTAACGAGATGACTCCTGAAAAGGGACAATACAAATAGGACCAGGTGTTCCGGAAGAGTAAACGTCTTCTGCTTCATCGACGACACCTGCCCTGTAAATCTTGATCAATCCAAGTAAGAAATATCACGTTCTCAAATGAGAACAAAGTATACGTCAATAGAACCAACAAGGAAAATAAAGAACACCAAACGCGTTCAACTTCATATCACACAAAGAAATAGAATATTTCTGAATGAGGTTACTATGACGACCGTGAAACTTCCTCATTATTTTCATCAGCCTGCATCTTTTGAAACCTTGTGTTACAAGTTTACCTGTCAGTTGACGACTTCGGGAGCAGGTTAATGACCACAGAATCAACTGCGACATGTAAACACCATACGTTGATGACGCAGGAATTTTGCTATCCAGAAATGATAACAGGAAAATTGAAATCCTTACGCTTATCATGCAGTTTGATGGAAAGCTGTCTATGTTGGTTTCGTTGTAAGAAGAAATGAGATAAACGACTGATGTAGAAGAGTTTGTCGTGTCCCTGATTTCCAATTCTGGTGGGTATATACGATGGACGTGATCGATAAGTTTCTTGCAATTTAAAGACAAGACGTCATCAACATATCTGAAAGTGAAATGAAATGACTTTACAATATCTTTGTGATTTGTTATGATAAGCTCTTCGATAAATTCGTCAAGCGTCGTATGAAAACAAAAGAACATCAGCCAACAGAGGGGCACAGCTGGTTTCCATTGGTATACCAATAGTCTGTTTGAAGATCTTACCACAAAACTCGACGAAAATGCAGTCAACCAGAAACTCGATCATTTCTATTATTTTGTCATCCCTATAAGTTATTTCAATTTACGAAACGACCTCTACCGAAAAAGGTATCTTGTCTTTATGGCAATGTTATAAGGCCTCAAAAATGCGGAAGATCATGCGAAAGATTTGCATTCCAATAAATCAAACATTATCTCAACTCAGTATCTGATAGAAATGACTGGTTATATTGTTTGAATTGAATTATCCTAATTATATTACTTAAATAGCTACCGCTCTTCATCGCAATTAAGGTGTAAAATACTTTCCTTGATAGGAAGGAAACACTACTTACACATTATTGAATATTTAAAACGATATAACTCTGGTACCAAGTGAATAGGCATACTGTTAACATCAGGGATAAGGGTCTGCTTTGTTTACAACGAGAAGTATTATAATTCCTTGTGCGATATGAAGCTTGCAGGTATCGAATGAGGGTAATCATATCTGTCGTTGCTTTGTTATATATATGGTTCTCTTTTTGAAAAACATTCTATTAGTAGATTAACCTAAACTTGCATTACGTTTTATGAAACGTGAGACGCTCATAATTGCGGAATACCTAATCTTGTTATTTTTTTATATTTTTAAAAGGAAATCGATATATTTTTCATTCCTTGTCCTCCTTTAACCAATTTCAGTTCCATTGTTAAATTGGTCTTATAATGGATTTCTAGCCTTCATGTTAACCCCACTGAAAGGTTCTGCTGACATGGCTAACTTATTTAGAAAATGCACCATTTTCTGCAATGTTAGATTAAGCTGTAATTCATATATCGATAATGTGGTTTGCCGTTGTTTCATCGATTCTGAATTAAATTTTAATAACATCATTTAAGTGACGTCTAGAACATTCTTGTTTAAAACACTGTCCGGGCCAGTGAATAAATTGTGTTTTTGCTGCATTTAACAACGACTAATTTATATAACAACATGTTAATCAAAGAAACGGTTTCGATAGTATACTGATCACATGGCAATGTGTACTTTTGGTTATTTTTTTATAACAAATCCATACAGTGTAGCTATTACTCAGAGGTACAGTCTGAGGAAAGACATTCATGGTTTTGACCACAGGACATTTAGCACAGTGAAATTATATGGTAAATAAAATTAAAATTCTTAGTTAATAAATTAAAAAAGAACTATCTTAACAAATCATCTGTCGTTGTCTAAAGTAAATACGCAACAGTCAGAATGAAACTGGTGTATTCTGTTTATTACTATTTCTTTTTTGTCGTTACGTTGTACATTGCACATGTACCTTTACATAGTGTCGAACATTTTGGCGTTGAGGTTTATACAGTGTACACATGACTCGTACGATTCTTACTAAAATGGAAAATTGATTTTAGTTTTTTTTTTTTAACTTTTTATTCTTTAGTTTGTCTAACCTTGAAATAATCAGTGTTATATAACGAATATTGGCAGATTGCCTAACTTTGTCATGTTGCTAGGTTATACAAAAAATTCGATACGTCATGATGACGTCATAATCACGCTGCCAACTTAAAGGTGTCGCGTCGAAGCTCAATCATTCGCGACTGCAGACGACAACGAGGAAAGGGACGTCGCGCCTCAGGTAAGACCGATCGAACTGCACATCCATAGCAGGTTAACACGAGAAAATAATTCTGCTTTCACAAACAATATAAGCACATTCATGTCTTTTCTTTTGTCATAACGCTGTCTCATTTTTCATGCACGTCAAGGTCTGAACATAAGCCTAAGGCCACAAGACTGAGTTTTGTTCCACCTCGGTGATCACGTTAGCCCAAGTCTAAAAATAGATTTTGTTTTGGCACCATAGCCTCGCCGAGCACGCGGCGAACAAACTTATGTGGAGTTGAACTTACATTACCTTGACGACAGAACAAAGGCCACACGTGGGACGAAGAAATTATGTGAAAATATGTAAGTATAATATCCTGTCGGCATCTATGATTTTGATAGATACTAACTTGACTCTAGCTACTTTTGTCGCGAATCGTGTCGGCACATGGAGGAAGACGGCAGCTGATCAAAACTCTGCGGGTCAGGTCACAACGAGGGCTCGATTGGAATACCGGTCGATACCTCCGGCATGCCACAATATTATGGGATGGGTGTAAGGCTTACATAATTATTGATAAGTAAAACAGGTAGCATGACAAAATATGTACATAAATTTGTGTTGTTTACTATTTGTAAATGAAATCGAAGTCTGAATAGGGCTTGCTCGAGTTAGGCCTGCTGTATGACAAGCTACTGAGACACTGTCAGTCTCGATGTAAACATTGGCCGCTATATCAAGAAGTAACACCTACGCAGTTGTTGTTATCATAGTCGTTAAGATTTTTTCCCTACTTTTTCACATTTATTATATGATATATACCATAATTTCACTGTTATGGTCTAAATTATGTTTTATAATTTGTGAACTTACAAATGATTGAATTATCAGCGCTGTATCATGTATGGCAAGCGAAAGTAGGTCTATTACATACCAATACTTCATGTAGGGTTGTTTCCTAATTTCTGTTCCTACTGTTGGGGTTTTTAATAATTGATGTGGAAGTAGAGAAAGAATTATCCGCTTCATATAAGTTTGTTTGCCTAACTTCTGTCCCAACTGGGGTTTTAAATCATTGATGTGAAAGTTAAGAAACATCAACAAGTTTGTTTCTATAACTTCTGTTCCAACTATGTTGGGGTTGAATTGTTTCTAAGAAATAGCATGAAATTAACTTACTCAATTTGTTTGACTGTTTTTCTGTTTACCTTTATTCAAAACTCAGTATTAAAATAGTTCTGTGACAGTTTGATTTTCACTATTTAAAAATAATAATTAAAATAAACTGAAACTATCAAAACCACACAACATACATCAAACTTGGGAAAAAACCAGCCAATCACTTCTGTATATTTTCCCAACTCCCTCAGCTCCTTCACAATTAACAATATATTTTTCACATATATTCAATAACACATTCAGGACAATGATATTATAGATATTGAGAAAACATGTTCAGTGTCTTAAAATATGAAAGTGGCAAGCCTCTGGCGGTCCCGAGCCAAAATACAACTTATATTTCAAAAACACTAACCTAATTCTATTTATCCTGCAACATTGATTGAAAATCGAATTATGAATGGAACAGATTTGTTGTGCAACCTGTGTTTACCTGACATTGAAGTTACGCTTAGGTTTGCTGATGACGGACGCCAAAATAATTGCTCTGCTCGGAAACATATCTCCAAACTTCATTGGATATTACAGCGATTTTATTAATTTTCATTCATCATCTTGTTCATTACAACATGTAAAATTGCCTATTTCAGCAACTACTTATATTTCTAAATGTAATATTTTAGTAAATTCAGAGAGTAATTATGTTGAATTACTGCGCATGCTGAAATAAAGCTGTTTTCCCTCACTGCCAAATAGAGCATAAATATATGGGGCAGGTGTATTCTGACAACAGCGGTGCCAGTTGCAGGATAACAATTAGTATAAATCCATATCACAACACTCACACCTCATATACGATATCTCCCAGGTATACAAATACTCTCAAACTACATATGTCATACATTCTTGACATAAAATACAATCACTTACACAATCAGCTGACTTACAATTTGAATAATAGATACACTTATACAGAAATACTCAATTTGCATAAAGGGACACAACTTTCAAATATCCATTCCCATTACATTCCTTCCTCTTCTGAAAAACAGGCATGTTATTAAGACAATACATGACATTTATCGACAAATGATACATACCAACAGTCATGAAAATTGAATGTCAAATAGTCCTAAGAACACAAGAAATATCACAGCGCAATATATCACATAAAATCAAAACTGTTTGAAATAGTTCATATGACAATGATTGTCTTGAAAAGCAAAATCCTGCAATATATTTGGCGTGATATGAATGTCAATGGGATCCTTCACCCAAATACTCTTGAGCGTAAATACACTGTTGATGACCCTCTGTCAGGAGCGGTAGGTAAATCAGGTTTGAAACCTGGTCACGGCACCAATTCTGTAACAGTTTGTTTTTCACAACTTAATTACCAAACTGTTGCATTACATAGATCAGCCCAGATTGAATTTTGCCTTTCAAATACCTGAAGATGCACTGAGAAATTTCATTGTTCTTTATAGATGACTCTCCACCTTTGTACTGAATTATGAAAATGTTTAGTGAATAGAGCATAAATGTGTACACAAAAATTTATGAACCTGAGAGTTGACTTTTTGATACATGAACTGACATAACATGTGCCACATCACACCAGTGTACAGATGCAGTTAAAACTGCTGTATACTGACAGTAACCTGTCTGGATTATAACTCATAAAGATCTGTAAACACTAAAAGCAAATATGCATTGAACCAAATTTGTTTCATTCACTGCATATTTATTGCCCTATGAAAGTTAAATCCAATACGGCATAGTCACAATTGTCACAGTGGTTGAAATTAGCTTATTGAACCACTAGCAAAAAGTGAAATGGGATCTTGTGCCTGCAAAATTTAAAATTGTGTTCATTGCATGTTATTGTATAATATAATGAAATCAGTTAATGTTATCATAAATTGATTGATACTTAAAAACAAAACAAAACCGAAACAGTACAAAGGAACAGTTCCAAAATGAAAAGACTGGAAGTTTATTTTTAGTGTCCAACATGTATACTTCATAAATGGTACATTACATTTCACTGAGTGCTTCGTGAAAAGAGTGAAAAAAAATTCCTATTACAAATACTGTGAAAAAAGGTTTTGTATGGGCATGTTGATAACCAAATAACCACATAATATTCAAACTATTTATAGCGCTTGAACATTTCATGGCAAAAACGTGTTCCTTGATGTAAATTTATTGTATCTTAAAATATATGCAAAATCTAACAGACTTCCAAATGTAACAACACCATAGCAGGATATCATATTTGATATTAAATGCACACAATATCTTGAAAATATTGTGGTATCTTTGAACTCATAATATGTCTTTAACTCACATTTTTTTAGTTGCATTTAGTTAATTTTGAACATTGTGTTCATCCTGCTTGAGGCCTTTGTTAATTTATTTATTTTAAACATTTGTGAAACAAGTTACCAGTTTATATTAATCATTCTTGTTGTCCCAGAATGAAGTATACGAGAGGTCCTAGTGTGTGAGGAAACCAGAGTACTCGGGGAAAGCCCAGGTACTCAGGCAGGTGACCCCATACGTTTCCACTTGCATTCCGGGAGTTGAACCCCAGACAGCTAGATGAAAGGCGAGTGCATTACTTTGCTTCCTTGATACTCATTTCATCTAGTAATGTCTGAGGAGGTCTTGTTACCTAACAAGTTGACATATCACTTTCCGGTTCATGGATGGAATACTTGTAATAAATGAGAATTCTATTTGAAGGATTATCAGATTTGCAAATCAATATGTGCATATTTTTAATCTTTTCCATGTACACAAAGAATTTACAGTCTTAGAAATCACTGCAGTGGCATAAATTGTTATGTGTTATTTAATCTTCGGCATGTCTCATGTACTGTAAATACTTTTTATCTCATAAAGAACGTCCACCCAATTTTACACATGCCTACCCCCACAACTGATGATTGTTACACAATATAAAAAGTTGCCGTTTGTCATAGACAGAGTTAATGTACTTCAACCTTTTCTGCATTTTAACTTTAAAAATGGAAAGTAGAAAATTCTGTTGATTTCTTGTTTGCACTACTCTGCCCTCTTAAAGTGTAGATATAGATGGAAATCAGAATGTTCACAAGTGATTGTGTGATACATAATGATTAGAATTGTTATCTGTTGTGATTTGTAATGTAATAAAATCAAAGCACACATTTGATTATTATAAGACATCACAATAGAGATAAAACTTATAGGTATCATTCCCATTGGCAAAAACCTTTATGCTCATCCCAATTCATGTATCAAAAGTTCCAAAAGAATGTTAGTTTTACAAATTATCAAAAAGTCTTAGATTTATTGGCTAAAGGTTTCCATTGTTTCAGTTCTTATGTGATAGCTCAGGTGTAATTCATATGCATTGTGATGTTGCCAAAGAAAGAATTATGTTACCATTAAGATGCTGTATCAGTCATGCTGCTTTCATAAATGCTTGCAGATCTATCTTAAAGGCAATTGTGATAAATAGAATCTTATATTCTGTTCAGTTTCATTGCAATATAAACACATTTAAAATAATCTTTTAAACATTATTTCATGAATAAAATCAACGTTAATGGAAGTAGCAGCAGTCATTGTTTATTCATGTTTTGTTTTGGGAAGATTTTATAACCTGAAATTAATCATTCACCGATAATGTGGGATTAAACATTTTCATTGATGACGGTTACACTTGTTTAAGTTGCTTAGAAACCAGTTTGCAGGAACAATGTCATGGTGTAGGTCTTGATTGATCACAGACTGTGTAGAGTTAGCCCATGAACTTCACTGTGTAAAACCATAAGTTGTTTGTGATTTTATTTTAACCAGCTGTAGATCATAGAACTATAGATCATCCATTGTGACATTGAAAAAAAATCATGGTGACTTCCCCTAAATGATGATCATTGAGTAAATGCCTGGAAGGCATGTCAGTGCTTACAAATACTAAAGGTTTGGCTTGATAGAATCAGAATTTTGTCTCAAATGATATGCATTGTGACTATTGCAATACATTCATCCATCAGATTGTAGCCACAATGTTGAGTTAAATTTGTCTACACACATGTTTGAAGTTAAAATATAATTGTAATGTCGGGTTAAAATCTGCCATGAAGTGTGATGTTGAAGAAGAAATATCCAAAACTGGGTATACTTGGTAATTTTTAAAAAAGTTGGTAAACCTGCAGAACCTCGGCTTTCTCGAGTGTACATGCCCACTTTG